GAGAGGAGGGGGTCCCTTCCAAGCATCCCTGCAGCAGCGCATGATGTGACCCCCAGAGACCTTGACAAGCTAGCCAGAAAAATCCCAGCAGTCACATGGCCAGGAAAATAATAGTTCCTACTTTATGCAGTACTAGCAGTAATTTAGAACAGTGGCGTCGTTTTAAACATTGCTTGCAAGCAGACCCAGTAATCAATCTTATGTGTCTGTCTCATAAGTTTAGTAACTTCTTATACATACGCATACCAGTTTCTGATCAAAATCAGATAGAACTATAGTTTGAATGTGCCTTCCTACAAGCAGTAGAAGGTTTTCAGTGCTATAATTTTCACTTCCTGTTTATGCTATCACCTTCTCTTTGGATTCATTTAGGTCGGTCCCTCCCCACATACTTTGGTTTTATTTGTATTATTTTTATTTTTGACTTCATTCTACCTCTCTTTGATTTTATTTTCATTAATTTACCTTTGTTTAGCTTGAATGTACCAATTCAGCTAAGCTGATTTTAATTAAATCTGAGACTTAATTTAATCAATTTATCTATTTTTACAGCTATTAGGACCTTTTTCGTTTTACTTTTACATTATTTTAGTTTATTTGTTCCATCATCATCCTCCCTCTTTGTATAGGATTACAGTAGTTTTAGTACCTTTGTTTAGCTTGAATGTACCAATTCAGCTAAGTTGATTTTAATTAAATCTGAGACTTAATTGAATCAATTTATCTATTTTTCCTTTTAGTTTCCTACAGCTATTAGGACCTTTTCGTTTTACTTTACCTTATTTTAGTTTATTTGACCATCATCATCCTCCCTCTTTGTACAGGATTGCAGTAGTTTTAGCAACTGATGTTTCCTTAATGAGTTATACAGGTTATTAGTAGCCTAATCCCTGTTTCCTCTCTATTCCTCCTCACTCCTCAGTGACAGGCCTAGTACATTGAAGTGCAGTTACTGTTCAACACAATGTAGGCCCAGACAGAACTAGGAACACTTCCCATTGTTTCTTTTTCTTTTTCTTTTTCTTTTTGACCTCGAGGTGTTTGGTGTGTCCCTGCTACCTTAGCTAACAATCTAACCCTAGGTTTATGAGTCTATTGCAGCATCACCCACAAGTGACCACCCGAACATAGGT